TCAGTCTGGCTTTTCTGAAATAATGAGAAAGATAACAAAAGGAGCAGCAAGAAAGAGACTAGGTTCACGGAGGAGGAATGAGAGTTCCCAAAACAAACTTTTCCCTCAACTTCACCTCGACTCTCTTTAAAGCAATCACGATGGGAACGTAGTCAAATTAAGACAAAAATGTATTATCTATGAAATGTTAACGTAAATTAAAGGGAAAGTAGGATCGAACTGACTATAGTTTAATGTAGGCGCCACTTTCCAGAACCAGATATTTGATCCAAAGCGAGTCCTGTCGACACAATTTGCTTTAAAGTCCTCCATTGCTACACAGAAACACTCTGTCTTGGACCCTTACTGGTTTACTCCGATCTGCATATTCTACTTTCTTCTTCCTTCTTATTGTGGCTAATGTTGCAAATTGGCAAAGGACTGTACTGTCACGGGCAATCATTTGCATTTTGATAATGAAAACAGCGGCTAGGAACGAGAACGGACTAAACTGTGCACCTGCTAGGTGTCTTTCCTGCATATCCTAAGAATAGCAACCAAGTAAGGCATTTCATTTACTAAAATGAAGTGAAATGTACACTATCGACCTCACGAGGACTATATTAAAAAAAAATTCAAGGACGAATTCAAGGACAAGGATAGTTTTCTTTAGGTTTTTTGCACTAGAGCAAGAAAAAGGACCTACTTGATCCGAGGAAACCTCTTAGCATTGAAGTAACTTTTACTGAGCGCGTGCCTTATCCCAGACTCTATTCTAAGCATTTTAACATGTTTCAACTCATCCAATCCCCTCAACATCTGTTATTGCATAAAAAGGAAATTGAGGCTCAGACAGACGATGTAACTAGAAAGTGGCAGGGCCAGGATTCCAACCGAGGACGCTCAGTACCAGAGCTCACATGCTTAACCACTACACCACACCACCCCATGGAAATCAGGCTGAAGGGAATCTGAGCTGATCTCTCCCTTGGGAATACCTGCCGAAGGAAAGCTAAGAGAATAGAACTTCCGGAACAAAGTCACAGGTACAGAGGGGACTCTGCTGGGGAAGGGCTGGGCCCTGCTGCTTCTCTGGCGTCATGTCCTGACTCTCCCTCTTGCTCACAGAGTGTCAGGCATCCCGGTCTTTAGCAGCTCCTGAAACCGGCAAGCACGTGTCTGCCTTAAGACGCTTGTGCTTTCCATTTCTTCTGCTTAGAACACTCCTTCTCTAGATTCCTTCCTGGGCCACGCCAAACCTCATTCAGTTCTCCGCTTCACTGTCACTCAGCAGAGAGCCCTTCTCCAACGTTTACGTGCTGTGACTTTGGCACCTAGAATGGGGCCTGTCACACAGTGTGTACTCAGTGTAGCCGCTGAATAAATGCAACTTTAGGTGGGATACACCTTCAGCCTTGGGACATGTTCTGTTCTTCCTGTAAAAATACATTGATATAACAGAAGAAGCAGCAAGAAAGTGGAATACACCTTCAGCCTTGTGACATGTTCTGTTCTTCCTGTAAAAATACATTGATTAAACCCTCCCCCCTACCTTTTTTTTGGCCATTTGCTATTCTTATCCCTAGAGTTAATAACATGTTATAAATATCACTGGAGATGTGCTGCATATTTCTGCATCTTTCTGTAAATAGTGGAAAACTCAACACATTCTGACAGTTCCAATTGTTTGGAGAGTTGAAGAGCTTACGTTAAAAATTATCTCCCCTAAAGATTCAAGTTAGAGCCATCAGGTTCAAATCTTTGTACCTTAAAGTATTTCATTTCTCTTGCATTTCCTTATGAATTTCTCTTTAACTGCTCTTCCCACACACACAGGGAAGGCTGAGCTGGGCAAAGGGGACAAGGGAAAGTGCTTCCCATCTTGTGCCAATGGCCAACAGTGCAGTACCAGATGTGCGTTACTGCGTTCCTACAGATCTCCCACGCTCTACAGCTAAACTCACATAAACGGCAGCGCTGTAAACATCGCCTCTTATTTTTGGAACTGCAGGTCAGGTGTTTATATAATCGCTATGGCTTTTCTTTCTAGTCCAGGTAATACAGTATTTTAACAATTCTAAGATGCACAGTTTTTACATCTCTGAGATTGAGATTCAGTTGGTAACCAATGGCAAATTATATAGTTTACTTGGTAGCATTTTTTCTTTCTTAAGGAGACATAAAATACTGCCATGTCTTTATAGTTGATGGAACCATAACATTGATTAGATACAGTATATAACACACATAAAAATTTTTTTAAGTAACCAAGATGGGTAAACATGACTTAATCTAAAAATGGAATAGAGACTTAGTAACTTTTGCCACGTATTTATGCTTTATCCTGAGCTTTTCCAACTCAATAGAAACAGATAAACTGCTTACCTTAATTCAGAGACATTAGCTTTATCCAGGGCATTTAGAGCCACGATTGCCTTGTCTAAGGCCGGCAGTACGCTTTTTAGTTCATTGGCAGTTTTCTGCAATAAAGTTATAAGCCTCCAAATACATATAAATGAATATAGTTGCATATTTAACATTTTTATATTTTAAACTTGGAAAATACAACTCGACATTTTTACAAGGTCCATAAATTATGCTTCTGACTTAGGTACGTACACACATGCTTACACTGTCGGAAATGTGTTTTACAGACCTAAATGAAGGGTGTTGCTCAATCCCCGATGAGAAGCCATCTGTGAGAAGCAGAAACACTGAGTGGTTGCTGCCTTCTCTAACGGACTCAGTGAAGGACTCACGATGTCCTTTTGAGGAGTGGTTCAGTTAGAGGTGGCTTCAGAGCTTCTCACCTGCATAAGTCCCTTTCAGAGCCCAGGAAAGAGCTCTGCCAATATGTTTGTAAGGTCACGTGTTTTCGTCAGACTAGCAAAAGTAAGACATTTTAATTGGAATCAGGTAAGAATAATTTCTCTTTACACTCTGACTCACTCTTTGTCAGGTTTCCTGTAGTCAGGTGGCACCGAAATAGCTACGGACATTTTTAGGATCTGGGTAAGGAGCACAGTTGGGAATTATAATTATGTCGCTCACAGTCACTTCTTTATATAATTAAGTCATTGCAAGCTAGCTCTAAAAGGAGTGACTTCTAGAAATACTGCCAAAAAAATTCCAGCTTTCCTGGCGATGTGACATTGAGGTGCAGGGCCAGAAGTCATATTGTGATAGAAACTTGTCCTATAGTGGCCAGCACCAGAACTGTGTGGGTACTGGAGGAGAAACAAGGTTTGCAACGTATAGATCCAGAATCTGGTCTGCGGAAAATCTTGCCTTTATCAGATGTATAAAATGGTCTGCGGAATCTTGCCTTTATCAGATGTATAAAATTATAAGGTCCACGGTCAGATTTTCACTGATACCTCCTCAGAATGGAAGTTTAGTTCTTCATGAGTATATTCAATAATGCAGCATTTACTATTCTAAACCTACTATCTATTTTTCCTTTTTTTTTTTTTGATGGGAGTCGAGCAAAAGAGTTCATTAGAATTCCTGAGTATTTAGGTAAGCATGGCGGTGTAGGTAAAGATGTTTTAGAATGTCTCGATGAAATAAATGAGAAATTACAGATTCCTTGTATAGATATATGTGAAAGGTGTCTTATTTTATCATTTTAATTTTTATTTATGAATAAATAATTAAGACAAAAATTTGTAGAATGTTAAAAGTAATTGTGTGTTAAAATTGATAGAGATTATTTTGAGATTGTGGAGTAAAATGTAATGAAACTTTTCAGATCATACCAAAAGTAAGAATTCATTATGAGAAAAAATAAATTTAGGATAGAAGTAATGATTTGGGTTTGGGTCTGTTTAATAACCCAATTAGTGACAAATGCATCATATAATTACACTAGAAAAACTCAAGTTTTTGGCTGAGTTTGCAAGACATATTAACATTAATGAAAATATAAATACCAGAAAATACCTCAGTTATGAAGATATCGATGGAAAACTGGTTAATGAATATTGTCAATTCAAACAGTATTTAAAATTAATCACTGCCCAAGAAACCGAAATGCCACTGCTAGTTTGATCACATTTGAAAGTAATACTAATAAAAATGTTCATGACATTATCAGTGATGAGTTATGAAGTTGACAAAAACTTTCACAAACTATCAGAAATGAAAAGCACATTTTAATCAACATTACTAAAGATTTTATAGGAGATGATATTACAGAATCATTATCATGTGAAGAAGGGATCAGTACACAGTGAAAAAATGCAGAAAAAAAGTAGTAGGAGGTGTGGAAGGCAGTTAATTACTAAACCGTATTGTAGTTTTTCTAGACCTCGTGATGTTTATAATAATTGTCAGCTTTTAAACATTTACATATTATCTGATTTCTTTACTTACTCTAAATAAGTATTCGCTTTCATGTAAGGAGATTTACTGACTATGTTACCTAGTTTGAGGCAAACTAGCCCTTAAAACACGGACAGGAGTAAAGGGCAGGCTGAGACCTCTCTCATCCCTGGTGTAAACTCTTCTTCAGCCGTGTTATAAGGTGAAAACAGGGATGATCTATTCAGCTCTGACGAGAAGCCAGACAAATATTTAGAAATCACTAAAAGGACCATTGGAAATATGTATTCACATTTGCTACTGCTCACAATAAACCTGGGTATTTATTGCGCTTTGGGACATTAGCTAATGAGAGTAGCTCATGTATAAATAAGTACATAGATATTAGGGGTATAGGCATATATATACATATATATGATAGATATTATAAATTGCCGGAGTTGCTTGATTAAAAACCTTTGCTTATGGAAGACAAATGAAACTCCATTCTCTGCCTCCTCTGAGAGGTGGGGTGGGGCTACTGAACATTTGGTTACCTGCTACAGCAGACTGTTTCCTGGTGGGATTCTGGCTAAAGAGGATTGAGAAGAGTAGCAGGTCAGTTTAAAAAGAGAGAATTACTCGGTCAATAAGGGAAGCGACACGCACCAAACGGATAGTCCCCAGGGCTGCTTTACTTCCTGCGGATGTTCCTCTTGGAGGCCACGTGTAGTTCTGACATGGCTTGAATGAGTTTCTGTTCATTGTAACCAGAAGAACTGACTTATCTGTCTCTTGTAAGGATTATAGGTCCCTCAAGTACAAGGACCCTGTGTCCTTGTACCCTGTTTTCATCTGATAGTGTCTTACGTGTAGTAGATACTCAATAAATATTTGTAGATACTCAATAAATATGAAAAGTATCCAAAGTTGGAGCACTATACATTAAAAAGCCTGACCTGTTAAATTTGGGGATTAGGAAATGATTTTGCAAATCTCCAAATGATTTTTAATGATCGTATTTTAATTTTACCTGAGCATAGTTTTCCACAATTCGTACTTCTTCTGCCATAATTTCTTCATCCTGTTTGACAAGCATCTGAACTTTCTCAACTACTTGTGAATCTTTCTGTAGTTTTTCCATTAAGATTTCTGTTTCCTAATGAACCAAACAATTCTTCTTAACATGAATTTTAAGAGACATGATCTTTTGTAAAGAGAAATTCGAATAGCTTATTTCATTCCTATAAAACTGATCAAAATCAGCTTGAAATATATGTGTTTAATAGACTGAGGGATGACTATAATAAATGTCATTTCATGTCATACACATAAAGAATAATAACAAGTAATGATCTTTAGGACACGTGGCAGCTTGCAACTGACCACAGCACATTTCAGATGGATTTAACTAATAACTATAGAATTTTCTATGTCAATTTTTATTATTAGTTATGTACCTATTCTCACATTTAATTAGTAAAGATAATGATGTTAATATTTTGCTATTACTGTTGCTCTTTTCCTCATTTTACAGATAAGAAAATTGAGACTAAGAGAGATTACACGGTTGCATGGTAACAAAGTGAGAATTTTAATCCATGCTTGTCAAATACCAGAGACTTTGCTTTCAAACACTGTTTGATATTAAACTTTAAAATCTTTAAAAAGAGATTTTAAATGAAATATACCTTTGTCTTTTGTTCTATCTGAGGGCCAAGAATCAAGAGCTCCTCCTGCATATCCGTAACTAGAGTGGTTGCTTCTAGAATCTTGGATAGACCCATATGGAAACGATTCCTGAAGGAAAAAAAAAAGTGTTAACAGGTGTAAGATGCAACAAAATATTAGCAAAGCAACATATACCGTGATCACGGAATGGAAGACAACAGGGTAAAGGTGTCAATTTTCCCCAAATTTATAAATAGGTTTAATGCAGTTCCTATCGAAATTGCGGTCAGATGTTTTTTGTAGATAGTCAAGCTTATTATAAAATTTAAATGGAAAGATATATGAACTAGGATAATTAAAATAATTGTGTAAAAGAATAACAAAGTGGGTAGAATCACTCCACTTGATTGTAAGACTGATTACATAGTGACAGTAATCAAGGTTATGTGGTATTGGCAGAGGGACTTCTCATCTAGATTACTACGATAACTCTCAAATCCTGTTTTTATTTTTTAAAATTATTTATTATTACTATTTATGCCTACAGCACCTGGTCTTCCTAGGTGGTCTCCCATCTAAGTATTAACCAGGCCCGACCCTGACTTAGCTTCCAAGATCAGACATTGGGCTTGTTCAGGGTGGCATGGCTGAACCGTGCCATGGACTGTGGCTGAACTGGGGCACGAACCCAGGACCTTCTGCGTGTAAAGGAGACGTGCTCACCGCTACACCATGGAACCACGTCCTTGTTTTTCTTCTTGTATCTCTCCAATTTATTCCCCAGTCTAATCTAATACTAGAGTGATCTTCCTAAAATACAAGTCTATTTAATTACTCAGAGTTACTATTTGTTCTGTGCTGTGTATGCTAGAACAAGTGTGCTTAGCATTTAATCTGTAAAAATATCAAGAAGCAGGTGCTATTAAAAATAAAATGAACTCTTAAAGGACAAACTGAAAAAGGTAATTGGGTAACTGAAGCTCACACTCAGGATAGGCAATTTGGGCTTTAGATGTGGTCATTCTGCAGAAGAAGACTTCCCATTTAAACAGAATGTTGAATTATGAGTTCTGGGGTTGGGAAGAGGCACACGTTGGCTGTGAGAGACCCAAACCACAGCATTAACCCTCCCCGCTTTTTCTTCTCCCACATCTACCCCTGGGAAACTGGGCTGCCGAAAGGTGTGAGGAGCCGAGAGGAGCTGGGGACCTGTAAGCTGATGCTTCTTCTCCCACTTAGCTGTGCGGGATGGATGTAAGCAGCTATGAATATTAATGATAATGACCGGGCATACGTGACGACAGCTTTTAAGGTGGTCCTGGTATGACCCGCGCGCCAGGGGCCAGGAGATGTTCTAGGATCCTACGTCATATATAAGGAACAAACTACTGAGCCGCCTGGGGACGTGTCTGGGGATACTGGGGCGGGGGGCGGGGGCGGACATGGGAAACACTGGAGAAAGGTGATGTGATTGTGACAGGGACTGGTCACGCAATCACGTGGCTTAGAATAGGGAGCAACAACCTATGAGGTTGAGAGGGGACACCTCCAAAACGCGGAGGTTAGAGGTGGAAGGAGGATCTACTAGTTTCTCTTGACTCTTATCGACAGGGCATCTGGCCGATCTACCCAGACTTCACCCTCAATTTAACCGCTGACCAACAAAAATCTTAACCTAAGAACTTTCAGAAAGACCCCAGGCACTGCTAACTCTAGGGGAGAACAGCCTTTACTTAAAACGCCAGGACAATATAAACTTAACGAACGAAATGATTCCTTTTAGCTTCACCGTATTCACAGACTATAGCAACTGCTCTGAATTTAATTGGCGTTGAATCTGCCACACTCCACCTGACTCTGCTAACAAAAACTTAATAATATTAGACCCTGACTCCCAAAATGCTGCTGTTGATGTTGCCACTTCTTATGTAAAAGTCAGGCCTATATTTGCCTAGCACAGAACCTCATCTAAACGTCTAAACGCTGCCCTGGGCTTCCTGCTGGCTTCCTGAGGCTAATGCCTCTTAATCACATTCCTAACTGGCTTGGCTCCAGACAGGGAGCTTGACTGTGTTTATCCGCCAGGTGGGAGGTGCAGTCATGGCCACTCTCATCCAATGCTGCCTAATAGAATGGGTTTGGTCCAAGCCCCCGTGAGTACCACTGAATAAGGTATCTGACAGGGCGCCCTTTCTTTCCCAGCCAGCCATATAACAGGTCATGGGATGGAGCTGTCTAGGCCTGCCCCGCCATCGGTCACACGTGGGCACGGTTTAGCCGCAACTGACGGAGGTCCGGGCAGAACACCCCGCCATCCTCCTAGAACATGACGGCTCGGATGCTGTGAGCAGATGCTACAAGGCCGCTTCCAGTCACTTTCGTAGCTTCCTGGGAGGCTGTCATGAGCTCTCCATGTCTCCTGGGTTCTGACGAGGTATGAGACTTTCTGCCGCACGTTTCCTCCCCCCCTGTCGCAGGTGCAGCAGGAGACTCCAAAACTGCTTGGCCGCAGCTCGACGCATGCGCTCAGCAGCCGGGCATCCTACCTGCGTTGCAGTCTCAGGCTCCTTTTATTTTGCTGTGGCCCCAAGGGACAAGGGACGTGGGGTGTGGCACCTATGGCTACTCTTGCCTTGTCTAGGGAAGCAGCAAACCATGTGCACCTAACGAGGGCTCCCTGCCTCGTCGCCGGCTGCATCCGCCTGCCTTGTCCTGATGGGCGCAGCCTCCTAACGCCCACCCACCTTCCCTTCAGGTCTTCTGCAGCTTTTGCCTTTTTTCCCGCTGAAAAAGCAGATTTGGTCTATTTTGTGTTTGTGTCTGTCGATACAAATAAAAGCACCGATGTAAAGTGCACGTTTCTGATTTGGTCGCAAAGCCTCACCTCCTCGTTTGCATTTCCTTCTCCTGCGACCTCAAAATGTGAGCGAAGGTTTCCATGAATTTCAAGTAGGTGCTGGGAGTGATGTAGTAATGCCTTCTGGTTTTTTGAAAGTATTTTATGCTCAAGTCTTTTATACTTTTGTGGATTTGGACACACGTTGGGACGAGCTTTTCTTTCAAGTTCTGAAAAATAATAATTTTCAAGAATTAAGAGAAAGCGATCCAAACACACCTTGAAAAGATTAAATCGAATGTGAATAACTTGAAAGAGTTTATCAATTTGAGGTGCGAGAATGTAGAAAAAGGCCCTGGGTGAATGGGACCAAGAATATATCATTTTTAATGGTTGGGATGGGGTAGGGTGCAAGCGGCAACAACGTGGCTGACGATTAACGACACGCCAGACGCCTTCTTCTAGGCTGAACCCTCATTTCCGCTGCAGCCAGCCAAGGATTTAGGACACCATTGTCAATGGCTCAGGTTTATGGTGCTTTCTTTATCTCTCATCTTTCTTTCTTAAAGTAGGTTATCAACAGCAAGATACTCAATTTCCTTGTAAAATAAAATAAAATAAAGCTGCAAAATGTAAAGGCTCAAAAGATATACGGATATATCTATATCTGTATCTGTATCTCTATCTATATCATCTATATATCTATATATCTATATCTGTGTCTATATCTATATCTATATATCTACATCTATCATCCATCTATCTATCTATCATCTATCTATCTATCTATCTATCTATCTATCTATCTATCTATCCATCCATCCATCCATCCATCCATCCATCCACCCACCTACCATCCATCCACCATCCATTCACCATCCATTCACCATCCATCCACCATCATCCATCTATCCATCCATCCATCCATCCATCCATCCATCCGTCTGTCCATCTATCCATCCATAATCTATCATTTATCTATTATCTACTATTTAGATATAGAAAGAGAGTAGAAAGAGAATCTCCTTTGCTTGGTTTTGGAGAAAATATTGACTTAGACATAACTTTGTCCTGGTCACGCATCTCCAGTCCACCAAGCCCAGCCAACAACCTTGTCACTTTTAACCCAGCTACATTTTTTTTTCCTGGTTCTACCCTATCGCTACCCTTCTTGGCCTTGGCCTTCCTCGAACACTTGGGCAAGTAAGGCTGCAAGCCCCTCTCTAGGTTCAGGCCTCTATGCATTTACAACTTCTTTTGTCAAAATCCCATGGGATCTTCAGCTGAATCACTCTAAAAGAGGTTCTTACTTGCAGCTCAAACCCTGAGCTACTTTTGTGTGTGGCTTGTGCTCTCATTTCTTTGTAGTTTTGCTGTCGCAGCCAAGCCGGAGGAATTTACAAGAAATACACAGAAGGTTGCAGCATCCTTATCGTAGGGTCTGGTGTGCAAAGTGGAGGTTGTGTTCCTTCATGGAAATGCACTGCTCACCATGGGGACAGAATAGTGAAGAGACCCAGGCAGTAAGGAATCTGGGCATCTTCGAAATCGGGTGAATTAGGGAGCAAAAGAGACAGGAAGTTGATAAAGAGTCAAGACAAACACTTGACTCGTAATTTTGCCTAGAGCTGCCTGTTTTTGCCCATATGAAGTTCCTTGCTATTCAGAGACATGATACTGTCATATTCAGTTAATCATCTGAAAACTTCCTTTGTATTAAGTTTTTGTGTTTTTTTTTTTTTAAAGAAGTTATATTTACCTCTCTTTTCTCTAAGTCCACCTTTTCTCTTAAGAAAGAGTCGGCTACAACAAAAAGAGCCTCTTCTGGCCACTTTTCATACCAATCAATCGTGCAAGTGCTAATCATAGAAGAATACATTCTGCAATTATGGCGGAAGTTAGGTCCTGTAGGACTCATTATTATGAAAATATGAAAATTTTTATATATTCTCTGAAAATTAATGAAAATAAAAGTCATTAAAATGTAATCGACTACTTTGAAAAAAGATTATATTGCAAATTCCGTTTTAAACGTGTTTCAATTCTTCCCTTACTCAGTAAACTGGCCAACTGTGCAGTGAGCCAGAGCCCTGCCAAGGGAAACTGCGAGTCCCACGGAGCTCTTCTGAGGAAAGTGGCCAGGTGCTGCTCTGTGTGACCCCAGTCTCTTGGCTTCAGCTGGATGGACCATGCAGGGGAGACACTGGACTCCAGGACATCCCTGTAAAAGCCAACTCTCGTGAGGTGGCCTGGTGCTGGAGTTGCGTTCAGTAGGTACCCTTACATCAGATGGTGATGGGTCTGACCATCAACGCTTTCCGCTAGGGTGGTGTGCATTTGAGACCCACAGAAACTCAAAGTGAGAAATGGCCATGAATTAAAGTCACAGAGAGAAACAGAGACCATTGTTGTGGGTGGAGCACCAGGGAGATATTAATAAGCTACTAGAGCTGAAGGATGATGCCTAAGCAATATTAGATTCTATACAATTTTGCAGGTCCAGGCAAAGTGTTAGTTTCTATGAAGTTTGCCTGCATCCTTTCCCCCCATTAAACCTTTCCCTCCATAAGTTATGCTGCTTCTGCTGCTACTGACTTCTTGGAATTACTGGCCATGGGGCACAGATTCCTTTCCCACTTCAACATATCACTTTATAATAAAACCACATTTCTGAAAGCAGCCTCGGTGAGTTACTATTTCTTTTAATTTGAAGAGTTCGACTTGTACAAAGTGATAATATCTTTGAGGATCAAGCAACCTTATTTTGCCAAATTAGCAAGATAAAGTTGAAAGAAGGCTGTAAGTGTAACATTTTCTTCTTTTTTGTCTTCAAGAATTTTATAAAAGCAAATTAAATGGCTCTGTGCAAAATTCACACCATACAGAAATGTTTAAATTCCAAATGAAATTACCTGTCTTTGCTTTACCCATGCCAGCTCCTACTTGAACATATCTAATATTAACAGCGTAAAATGTGCCTTCACTATTGATTATTTTTGTAAGACACTTCAAATCATTTTTGGAAGATATATATATTTCTAACTGGGATTCTTGATTTATTTTTCATTTCCGGAGCGCACCGTTCTCTACACTCCAAATGAGAATTTCTTTGATCTTTACCACTTACAATCTATTAGATAAACCTACTTAGTAGCAGGGCACCAGAGTGCCACATGTGATCAGGAAAATTACTGTCCCTTCTTTCTTGGGATCTGACATCTCTTGATATTGCCCCTAATTATTATTATTATTTTTTAGCCTTTAAGAGTGAGGCATTTTAAAATATAACTCAATCCAAGCATCCATTCATATGATAATGCTCTCTCTCAATTGTGGATTCCATTTCTGGAATTTTTTTTTAACAGCTTCTTGTTCCAGATCACAGAGTATCTGTTGAGGAATGAAGGGTGGCCCAGCTGAATTTTCAAATGACTCCGTGATAGACAGAAACTGGCACCAGAAATAAGTTGACCTGTGGTACTTTCCCACTGAACCCTTCAGTTTAGGTAAATCACATCTACCCGCTCACCAAGCCCCTGGCCGGTCATCGTGCCTTAAAGACATGGAAAGCCTAGGTCATCGGTCTAGTCTATATCTCTCATAAGACTGGCCCCTTCACAGCTATCCAACTGCTGAGTTCATTCTAAACATCCCCTGCTTTTTCTGGCTGATTTCTTTCTGTACCCATCAGCTCCTGGCCAATTTTAGGGCTATTTAAAGGGATAAAAGAATTCTCGTTTCTTGCCTTTCCACACTTGCTACCAGCATGACTGAAATGAAAACCTCATTGGCTAGGAAGGAATCTCAGTGTTAAGAAATCACCCTGGGATCCTGCATCTCTTGTCATTGCCTCCAGCTGTTATTATTTGTTTTGGGCTTTAATAGGGAGGCTGAGATCTTCGTTAACCTTTGGCCTGCCTAAGAGTGTTGTGGGTCTGAGTGTAGCGATGGCAGTCATTATTTTAACTTTAAAAACTCATTTAAAGAACTAAAGAAATTACCCAACTTGAAAGTAATGCACAGAATTATAAACATAGTCTACTTTTAAATTAACACGACAATTTGATAAACTCAATGCGTGAAAAAACAGTACCTTTTGGAAGAATGAAAATAAAGCTTGCCTATTATCCATATAACCAGACTGTTCAGCAAGAGGTCTAATCCTTAGTGCGATGGAGTCCAGCTCCTCATTTTCAAACATGTCAGGTATTTTTCCCAAATTCAGAATGCTGTTCAAATCTTCTAACAGTGCCTCCTTAGAGGAAGCATATATTTAATCAGGAATGAGTAAATTATTCATATATTCTACTCTAAGCACACCAAACTGAGAAAGCAATAGGGTTTAAAGAAAATTGAGGTTAATCATAAATATCTTTTTTTTCCCCCCTGAGTCAAATAAGCTTCATTCATCCATTTATCTATTCAACCATTAGAGAAATGCATGTTTGATACAGACAATATGCCAGACACCTGTGTTACACACTGGGGCTAGCGGCACAGGAGGGGCGGATACACGAACTGAGCAGAGACTGTGCCTCGAGCCGTTTATAGAAGACCTCAATGCATCCGCTTTTTTCATTGAATACTACACAAACTAGAAACAACACGGCTGAAGGATTATTTTAATTTAATCAAGTTCATCTCTATAAAGAGTTCCAAATCGAATGGAAAAGGTAAAAAGGAGAAAGAGCAGTAAAAATACTACCAGAGGAGTTCTAAAAAGTATAAACATTTTGGTTTTGAGAGTAAATTCAAGTTTGTTTGTTCATTTTTTTTTAAAAAGAAAAGTATCCTTGGCATTTCTGACTCCTCAGGATACTCCTCAGACACTCACACATTCCTGGTATTTCAGCCCAGGTAAGGATGGGCAGAGAGCAGGGTGGGGCAGGCTCCAGCAGAAGCCAACAGAGGTGACATAGAGCTAGCTGCTTTCCTGTTTTACCTAAGACACGATATGATGGAAAACCACCAAAGCTTCTTACACACATTGATTATTACCCACTTGTCAAAAGTTTAACTATATTATTCCAAGGTATTGCTGCTTTGGCACTCATCTTGTTTGGCCAAGTGGCCTGCGAGGCATTAAACTGACACTAGCCCCTTCATGTGAGCACATGCCCGAGACAGCAGCCAGCAGAGTCACAAGCCAATGTAAGTTCCTGATACGATTTCCCAACAGCCCTTGTGATCAACGGTCTCCCCGCCTCCCAGCACCTGTAAGTCTTCTGTGTCCATTAGGTAACGCCCTGTGGGATTTACCAAAACCCCACTCTTTAAGTTTGAATTGACTAATCTGACACTAGCCCGGAAACTCCCAAGTACAACACAAGGACGTTAATAAACGTGTATGCTCCCGGTCCTGCCCCTCTCTCCCTGCCTGCAGCCTGCCTTCGCCTCCCTGTGTGGCCTTTCGAGGACCTGTAGTAACAAACTCCACTATTCTAATTTGTGACTCACCATCTGACGCCTTGTGTTCTACTTGACACGTTAATTTTACAAAGTCCTAAAACCATTTTTTTTTTTTTTGATTCATGTGGAAAGCAATGATATGGTCAGAAGAAATCTGAAAAGTGTGGAAAGGCGATCCAATGGCCTTGAAGTCCTGAACAGCACGGAAGGAGAGGAGCTGTGTTCACCTCAGCTTTCATCTGATAGTGGTTTTCCGAGAAATTCTTTCTTAAATGAGAACCCACAGGCTCCTGGCACGGGAGAAACTGCATCTCCCAAAACCCAGAATGGAAGTGTCTGGCAGAAACCTCAACCCGATCAACAGAAAAGGTTGTGTAAATTGGGAAGGAGAGAATATACAGCAAAACCAGAAAACTGGATATTATGGAGTATAGTAGATATGACATGGCACTTAGATTTACCCTCAAAATAAGACATGAAAGAAAAACACACCTCTGGAGAAGCCCAGAATTAGGAGAAAAAATAAGACGAGAGTCTGAACAATACTAATAGTTATATATACATGTCTGGATCACAGATAATAAACAATGTTCCCTTGAAATTTTGCCACAAAGAAGGAAATATAATCTATGTGTTCTGGCTGTGAAAGGGTGTAACTTATGCAAAAACAACAAAATTTTAAAAAGTTGAGTGATTAACGTTTTCGCTTTTATATAAATAAAGTATATCCTGCAAGGACAGTCCTAAACTTGATGGTCGAATGAGAGCAGAAGGATAAAGGAGAGAATCAGAAGCCTCAGCTCTGTGAGAGCACATTGCAGATTACATGGTCAGATAGTGGATACAGATGATAGTGTTTTTTTAAAACACAGATTACAAAACTAGTTCAGATATAAGACGGACGACTTATCTACACAGATAAATGGCTTCCGATCGATCAATTAAAGTGAAAACTGTACAGTTTGAATATAAGATGGATGATTAGTTCGCATATAAGATGGATGACTTATCTACACAGATAAATTACTTCCAATCGGTAGATTAAAGTGAAAACCGTGCAGACATAGAAAATGCTTTTGTTGTAATGTTTATGTAAAACCATCTATATCATGATTACAGATATATAAACTCTATGGGCTATAACTGGGTAAGGACAGAGAATAATGAAAAGAATTGATATGATAGATTCAAAATACTATAGATTATTTTCTTTTCCAAATATTAAATTTGGAGGGCCATTTAAATATCAAACTTCAGCAAATAATGAAGACAAAAAGCACTTACCTGATCCAGGTTTAAATTAGCGACTATCAAAACAGTGGGGTTCCCCTCTAATCCTGCTTGAATAAACATCTTTTTAAAGTCTTCTTTGAATTCTAAATAGGCGTAATTGTGAGATGCAGGCACTTGGTAGACTTTATATTCTGTCAAGTAACAGGCCAATGTTGCACAAGTTTCTTTTCCACATCCATCTATTCCAATCTTTGGGAGAAAAAAAAAAATCCAACATATGATTCCTATATATGGTCTGGGAATCTTTCAATGTATAAATTTCTGTTTAGATATATTTGAAATTTAGATAGTAAATATACTTAGGCAAGTTTTATAACTTTTTTGGGGAGATATATTAAACATAATTAAAGTATTTTATTAAAATTTTATAAGGAATTCATATACATTCAATATTTTCACCTTTGCCTTCATAACCTCTTGAAATATATAACTTCACTTATAAGATAATCTGGAAAAATAACATGGATAGGCTTATAAATAATCATTATATCATGGTCAATATTTTCCTCTTCATTTATCAGAATTTAGGTGAGTCCTTTCTTATTTATTTTGAGCAATAAACAATAAATGCTCTTGGTAATTATGATGAAGTATTACCTTTTAAAAAGTTTTATTAAGATATAATTTACAGACCACACCTGTTTTAAGTTTACAATTCAATGATTTCTAGTAAATTTACAGAGTTATGCAACCATCACCAGAATCTCTTTTAGAACATTCCATAACCCCAAAATGATTTCTCAAGCCTGTTTGCAGCCAATCTTCATTCCAACCTCCAGTCCCAGGCAACAACTCATATGCTGTCTCTCCAGATCTGCCTTTTTTGGACACTTCCTATAAATGGAATCATGCAATATGAAATCTTTGGAATCTGCCTTCTCACTTAGCATGGTGGTTCGGAATATAAAGACTTCAACAATACTGTAAAGCAACTTGACCTAATTGACATATAAAGAAGACTCCACCCAACAACAGCAAAATACACGATCTTCTGAAGCATACATGGACCATTCTCCAGGGCGGCCCACATGCCAAACCATTAAACGAGCCTCAATAAATTTAAAAGGATTGAAGTCATATGAAGTATGTTCTCTGACCACAATAGAATTAAGTAGAAATAAGTAATGGAACGAAATTTGAAATGTTCACAAATATGTGGAACTTTTACAACACACTCCTGAACCAATGGATGAAAGAAGAAATCATAAGACAAATTAGAAAATACTTTAAGACCAATGAGAACATCCAACATACCTAAAGCAGTGCTTAGAGAGAAAGTTATAGCACAGATGCCTACATTTCTAAAATAAGATACATCTCAAATGTATAACCTCACCTTCTACCTTAGAAAACTACATAAGAAAACTAAGCCCAAAGCAGGCATAAAGAAGAAAATAATAAAGATGAGAGGAGAAAATAAAGAATAAAAAAAAATACTCTCGATGAAACCAAAAGTTCATCTTTTGAAAAGATTAACAAAATCGACAAATCCTTAGCTAGACTGACAAAGAAAAAAAGAGAGAGGACCCAATTATTAAAATCAGAAATTAAAGTGGGGCTGTAAACGCCAACATTATAAAAATTAAAGGATTATAGACAATGCTATGAACAACTGTATGCCAACACATCAGTTAACTTAGATGAAATGGACACTTTGCTAAAAAGACACAAATTACTGAACTGAAGAAATAGAAAATCTGAATAGACCCATAACAAAAAAAGAGATTGAGTTAAGAACTTCCAACAAAGAAAAGCCCTGGGCCAAATGGCTTCATTGGAGAGTTCTACCGAACATTTAAGGAAGAAATGAAACCAATCCTTCACATACTCTTCCAGAAAATAGAAAAGAGAATACTTTCTGCCTCATCTATGAGGCCAGTATCAGCCTGATACTGAAACTAGAGAAAGGTATCATGAAAAAAGAAAACCATAGACCAATATCCCTTGTGGATATAGTGGTAAAAATTCTGAACAAAATATCAGCAAACCAAAAGCAACAACATATAAGTAATGTACACCGTGACCAAGTAAGATTTATTGGGATGTTTGGTTTAACATTCCCAAATCCATTAAAATGTAATACGCCATATTAATAGAATAAAAAGCAAAAAACACATGATCATCTCAAGAAATGCAGAAGTGTTTGATAAAATCCAACACCATTTATGATTTAAAAAAGAAAACTCAGCAAAAACCAGTAGAAGGGAACTTCATCAACCTCACAAAGCGGATCTATGAAAAACTTGCAGCTAGCTTTATGCTTAATGGTGAAGACTAAATGTTTTTCCCCTAAGGCTGGGAACGAAGCAAAGATGTTCTCTCTCACAATTTCCATTCAACACCATACCGGAGGTTCTAGCCAGTGCAGTTAGGCAAGGGAAAAAAAGCCATCCAGATTAGAAAATAAACAAGTAAAACGCTCTTTATTCACATTCCACATGATCCTGTTTGTAGAAAATCCTAAGGACAAACCACTCAATTAAAAACAAACAGACACTTTACGAAAGCATATGAAAAGATGCTCGATATAATTTGTCATTAGAGAAAACAATGAGATACAACTACACATATATTAAATTCTCCAAAATCTCAAATATTGATGATAGAATTGCTAACATAAGGATACAAAGTGGCAGGAACTCTCACTTATCGCTGGTGGGAAGGCAAAATGGCATAATCACCTTGGAAGACAAGTTCGGCAGCTTCTTAGAAAGCTAAACATAATCTAAACACGATCGAGCAATACACTGTCTTTTATATTTAACTATGAAATTACTCTAACTGGTGCTTTTTATTATTCATGTGGATTCAAGTTACCATCTGATGTCATTCCCGCTCAGACCGAAATGTTTCCTTTAGTATTTCTTGTAAGATAGCAACAAATTCTCTGTCTTTGTTTATCTGGGAATGTCTTTTAATCCATCTTCATTCTTTGAATAATAGTGTTACTGAATATAGCAATACTGACAATGTTTTTTCTTTCATTGCTTTGACTATGTCTTCTACTGTTTTTCTGATGTTTCTGATGTCAGCTTGCTAATCTTATTAAGATTTCCTAATACATGATGATCTGTTTTTCTCTTGCTGCCTGATAATTATCTTTTTGTCTTTTTTTTCTTTTTTTAATAGTTTGACTATGACGTGACTTGGTGTGGATCCACTTGGGTTTATTCAACTTGGAGTTTCTTGAACTATCATTGAACTTCTTGGATGTAAAGATTAACGTCTTGGTTATTATATCTACGAAATTTTTTTCTGTCTCTCTTTCTTTCTGAGAGTCCCATTATGGATATTTGGATACATTTGTTGGTATATCACAGGTCTTTATAATTTTGTGTTTTTTCTTTCATTCTTTTTTCTCACTTTTCTTTAGACTGAATAATTTTTACTGATTTATCTTCAAGTACACGGATTCTTTCTTCTGCCAGCTTAAATCTGCTGTTGAGCCCCTAGAGTGAAATTTTCATCACATTCATTGTACTTTCCAACTCCAGAAATTCAATTTTGTAAAATAATTTCTATCTCTTTGATGATGAGTCACAGTTTTATACTTTCCTTTAATTATTCAAATGTGGTTTCCTTTAGTTATTTGAATATATTTGTCACAGCTGCTTTGAAGTCTTTGCCTTGCATAGCATCTGAGTCTCTTTCGATTGACTACTTTCTCCCCTGTGTAGTTCACACTTGAATATCTTTTTTCATGTCTTGTCATTTTTTGTTGAAAACTGAACATTTACATAATAGGTTGTCTGCAACAATCCTTTGCATAAAATTTTATGCAAAGCCTTAAATCAAAATACGACTTTACTTGTTTTTTTGCTCTCCTAGTTTGACAGTACAATCCAGTTGCACTAAGAAATATTTTTAAAAGTCACGTATGATTCCTTTTTTCTTCCTTAATAATAATCTCATTTGAATTGACTGACCTACATTACGATCATTTGATTCATTTTAAAAATCTATTTTGAATGTTCTTCATCAAATCATCATGCTCCCTCCAGCTGCATCTCCCTACCGAAGCCCCACATACTAAGTCAGCCTCCAGTCATGTGACTGTTTCGCAAAATTGAACCCTCGTGTTAGCTTGACCCAAGGCAAAGATCTAAGGTGTTTAACTGGCAAAATAGTCAGGATTAGAGAGAAAGCAGGGATTTGCCATATTTTACTTTGTATTTTAAACAGGGGTTCTGAGATCGAAGATAGGTTTATAAAAAAAATCGGTAGATAAATTAAGAAGGCAAAGTTCTAGCTGAGTGTTAGACTTTAAAAATATTGCTCTGAATACATTATCAGGAATTTTAGAACTGAGAACTTGTACACCTACCTGTTATTAGAAAAGCAAGAGTCCCTTTGGGGTAAAAAGAAGCAAACTTAAGATCATATACCCTTTAGGAACAGAAACGTCTATTAATAGTTGAAATAAGACATATTAAATTCATAGCTCTTACAGAGCTATGTTCTATATTATAGAGCTATGTTCTGAATGTGGAGACGTGATAAATAATGAAAAATTAATGGATAAGGTCAGATGATGCTAAGGACTAGGAAGAAAAATTAAGAGGAAATAAAGGGATAGTGACAGGGACCGAGGGGAGGAGAAAAGGGCATGCTAGTTTAGATGGGGGGAGCAGAGAAGGCTGCTGCAGCGGTCCAGGTGGAGGCGATGGGGTGTTGAATGGGGCGGGGGCAGGTGAAGTGGGCAGCTTCGAATACATTTTGGAAGTGGTACTGTCAGCACTTATTGATAGATTGGATGCGGGGAGCGAGAGGAAAGTGTCAAGAGCTAGAGGCTCCCAGGTTTCCGGCTAGAGCAGGAGGTATACGGTGGTGCCATTCATGAGATGGGAAAGGCTAGTAGAAGAATAGTTTTGGTGCTGGGAAGATTTGCTTTTGTATTTTCCGCCTTAATTGTATTTTCCCATTTTTAATTCGTTTTAGTCTTGTACCTATCTGTTTAAATAAAGGGCTGTTTAAATAAAGCTCTAGTTGTTCTGAATGTCAAAGGAAAAACCTTTTTGGAAAAAAAAAAAAAGATGTGAATTACATAACATAAAGTATAAAATAAATGACTAAATAATACATAAAGTATAAAATAAATAACTAAATAATAGACATAAATAATAAACAGTCATAAATAATGTGATTCACATAATCGGCTAAATATGTTTGATTTTATTTAGTCTTCTGAAAACTTTTCTCTATTTGAGGTATTTGGGATTTTCCAAGAATTTAACTCTCACTCGTTTTCATGCGAAGTAAAATTTTATGCAAAGACTCATGTTTCTCAATCAATATTCAAGTAAGTATACTATTTCGAAGTCAATATCCCCCGGCATAGATAGCATATTAATGCTGAGAATACGCTCAGCATTAATATGACGGGGCCAGATCGACCACTTTAACTCACACCATGTGCCTTCTACAGACGAATAACACTTTCATGTGCTGATAAACTTCTTATGCAAACTCTTGAGAGGACAAGAATCTTGTCCTGTGACTCGATGACTTCAAACTTTCATAAACAAAAAGTCTGGATAAATAAAACTTCTGCGAGCAAAGCAGATTTTATTAAATATCCTTAATTTTTATCTTACGAACTTAAAGACATTTGAAAAATTTAAATTATTACCAGTAACATGTGACTCCCTGGTTGCCGAAGGACCCTTGTAGCTCTTGTAATGTGTTCTATGGCTTCCTTGAAGAACACCATGGAATGAGAAATCTAGCAGAGGAAAGGTGACAAACTGATTACAGGCACAGAAAAATGTTCATTATGGTTTTATGCACAAAGATACGGAAGTGAGAATAACTATTCTAATAATGTAGTAATCTAGACCCAGTACACTGGTTTACATTTATGGAAAATTCGCACAGTGACGACTGTCTCTATGCCAGTATTCTGCGGGGGGTGGGGGAGGGGAGGTTCATAAACTTGAGGGAAGAGGATAAAAAGGACAGCAGCATCCGGGTGGTTTTCCTGTTGCTGCGTCTTGGGGTAGAATAAGTGGTGGGAGGAAGAGTCTTAGGAAACTGGTTTATGGCATCTGCGAGTTTGCCGGCGTCTCTGTTCTAATGCATCTCTGCCCACGACAACGCTGTGAAACAAGTAGATGAGTCTCATCCATTTCGCTGCTCCTTGTCGCCACTCTGGGCCCAGGGCCACTCTCTCTCTTCTTGACTCCCCTAACTCTCCTCATTCAACCCCCCACAGCCTCAGCTGTGCACCTCGTGTGTTTCCGCCTATTAAATGAGACAACACATGATGACACAACATAAAATTATTTCTAATGGTCTGCTTTGAAATAAGAGGGCACACATTTTTCCTGAACTCTCTCTGTTACACACACACACACACAGCTTAAAGATATTTGATTTTCTATCTCTGTATGTGTGTGCATATATGGATAAATATATACACACACGACAGTATTTCTCAGATTTTTATACATATATGTTTTACCTCCAAAGACGTTGAACTCAACTTCATTTGGAATTCATTAAGTACACTGGCGAGTTTACGGTAGTCATTGGTGTTCTGATAGATCTTTTTTCTATGAGGCTTATTTATATCCAAGAAGTCCACAAACACAGTTGAATCATTCATCAGTGTTTCTGTGGTCCACTGAATCTATTGGAAGATAATAAAGAGTTATCACGTTTTATTTTTTAAAAAGCCAACCGGCTGAACACAGTTATTAAATGATATTGGATAAACCCAAATGTTCACAGGAGTAATTTATGTCCTTAGGTCATTAGGAAGATTTGGTTAATATGTCTTAATTCGGGGCACTGTGGTTGTTCTTGCCGTCCATAGGGCTGACTCCTGCCAGACCTGCTCATCGTCTGCTGCCTCTACATCTCTTCCTTGGTCTAGCAAAGTTGTAAAACTGAATCGCAGTTGGCACTTACAGGGAGGGAGTGTAGAATTTCTCCTGGGACAAGAACGTGCTTTCTTTAGATAGTCATTTTAGCAAAGTCTCTACATTCCTTCATTTATTCCTTTAGTCATCCATTCATCCCAGATGTATTTATCAAACACCAACTGGAAGTAAGGGAGGATGTAAAATTCTGGAGATTTAGGAAGGGAAAAAAATCTGGCTTTGTTTTCATAGAACTAACTCATAGGTGAGAGAGAGGGTGACCGGGAAAGGAGCAGATCCGAGGCTCCTGAGGCCAAGCACACGAGCAAAGGTGACAAGGCCGTGTCGTTTCTGTCATGTCAAATCTACACTTAGACATTTTCCAGTGAAAGAAGGAATCGACAGCAATTTTTTCATTCATATTATAGAAATGTCTGGGTACTTTTAGAAAACAACGCTTTTGCCTAAGATACCACTTAAAATGTTTTTTTAAAATATAAGTTTACCTTAAAATAATTCTCAAGTTCCTTTGAAAGAAACTGATAAAAAAGCCCCTTTTCAGTATGTTCGATTAAGCGATCGTGAAACACGCGGGTGGCTTCATGCACAAAGAACAGAGCGACCATGTCTTTGGAGTTAACGACAGACTTTTCGGCTTGCAGCAGTCCTAGGAGAAGCTAGTGGGGATTTCAAGAGGACATTTAAAAAAAAATCATTAGTGGGAACTATGTGAGTAAAGGCTCAATTTTTGCAAGTTTATATTTCCATAAAAATAGGAAGTTATCCAAGATAAGAATTGTCAACTTCTAGAAATGATAATCTGAATTTCTGATGAGATAGGCAAGCTGTACATCAGGGAAAACATCACTGGGTTTAAGCGCTCCTCAGCCACGTCCAGTGGGGGCCTCGCTAGGATGGGCAGCCATGAGTGTTTCCTGTGGTACATGCGGCTTAGGAGGTTGGCGGAGATATAGAGATGGTTCTCAGTGTTAAGTTATATTCTAAGATTCTTATCTTGGATTAAAAAAAAACAACAACAAACCCTTATAACCCATTTCAAACATTATATGTGCTCTTTTGGGCTAAAGTCCCATAGCAATGAAAGATCAAATTCAAGCATTGTTTTTTTTTAACATTTTAATTCTGAAAATTACGTATTTGACCAAAGCTGATGACTAAATCAGCATTGCTGGCAACATTCCCTGGTGTAAGAAGCTGGACTCGTAAAAATTCAAGCATGTTTATGAAATGCATACATGTTTTTATTTTCTGAGATCTGCAATAAAATCTCAGGTATAAAGCAAAACCAAAATCCATGTTATAATCTTCTCATTTCTTCCCCTGCTGAGAATCTTAGCCAATATTCTAACAATCTTAGTGGTTTTATCCTTGAATTCTCTGCATGCAATTATTTTAGCAATTCTTTGTCGACCAGCTCATGGGATAAGCTGCTAACAGATAGCAAAACTAATCAATTTCAATTTCCCCTTTTTCTCCTTTTAATAATTTAATGTGGACAGTATCGTTGAGTAAGGAAAATGGGAGAGAGAGTCAATTCAGTAAATTACATTTCTTCGACTTAGACTTGAAAAGTAAGCTAGATAATTTTAAAACGAACCTTAAACATATCCCGAAGATTAAACATGTAGTGACACTTGGCTGGAGTTGGCAACATGCTCTGACATACTTGGTAGTATACCGCTAGAGAACAACTTATTATTTGATCCTTACATTTCTGAACATCAGCTGCGAAGTTATTGATGGAGAAATATATGCCCAAGTGAGCCTTGAAGAAGAAATTTTATAATTTAGTTTGCCAAAAATTTTAAGCACAGACTACATCTAGCTAACTCCTACTAAAAAGGAGTTGTGGATATTGTAATGGAGGATGAATTTTATTTAAGATGTAAGGAATTAGAATCCACTTTAAACAGATGGCAGACTAGTGAAAAGACATTCTGGGTTAATACTGGAGAAAATTCCAGTTGGTCCTAGTTTGGTGTGTTTGTTTTCTGGGGACGCTTTGTGTCCCATCTGTGTGTGTACCAGGTGTGCTGGAAATTCTTCCATATTTTCACTCCTCAGTGGAAGTTGCTAGAAGAAATATAAAGTAATAGAACTATTGCCTCAGTTTGGATTAGTATATGTATATATATTCCTTTCTATCAGGTTTTTTCGAGGTGTGGATTATTGATCACCTGCGGAATTACTAAGTACTTTTAGAAAAACAATTTTAAACATTAATCTTTCAATTCGATATTATAAGAAAAACAAATGATTAGTTTTGAAGAATTTAATAATCTTGCATAAGATTTATTTTTCTAATCAAACTAGGCTTCAACCTGAGCCATTTTTTCTAAGAGATTTTTCAGAAAATTTTCCCTCATTATTTTTTATTCCGTAAGAAAATGAAAAGAATAAATCAAACTAGCAAAAATCTGGTGTGCTTGTAAATGCAGATTCCTGAGCTCTATCCCAGATAAAGTGAATCAGAATCTCTGAGAATAAAGTCTGGGGATCTACCTTTTAAACCTTCATTAAACACACACCACATATGTTTCTTATGCAGACTAAATTATGTGTTTGGTATTTAGAGACAAAGCATGATGCTAGGCCATAAATACAAGGAATAAAATTCATCCCCTTAAGAGAATTTTCTTTCAATATTAGTGGTTTTAAGTTATTACATTTCTCCCTTACACTATGAAATTACATTTTTTTTTTTTTAGCAGAAAACGAACTATATGTATTACCTGGAAAATAGTATGCAAGGCACATTGTGGAGGATGGGGCAATACTAGAATGGAAAAATGTTTGAGGAGACGTGGGCTAATATGCCTGGTACCCAGTGGAGGAATACAAGCAGCAACTAGAGAGAGATCTTGAATATTCTGTGGGAAGAGTAAAACGGAGAGTAACTAAATGTATCTGTAGAAAGTGAAATATATACCCATCTCTCAGCCCCAAACAGACAAAAGATTTTTAAATGTTTAGGTAAAAAAGATTATTTGCTGAAAAACAAAAATCATGATGGTAATAGAAATCTATCTTCTTAGAAGTAATCCATCCTCAAATGGAACTTCAAGACACATGACTTCTAAGAAGCTTTCTAAATGTCATCAGGAAACAGCTTATTTTTTACAAAGCAATCATTGATTGTGGAAAATAAGCAATAGGTTATCGAAGCTAAAGGTTCTGGTGATAAGTGAAGAATGAGAAGAGCCTGGTGAGTACGTCTTCAGAAGAGCCAGGGTTGGCTTGGGGTGAGAAGATGCTTGCGTATGGAATAACAGCCATTTGACATAGTGCAACGTCAGAGTGTTGTAGAGCTGGGTGACTCTTACCATAAGATTTCCACAGTCGGCTCACATCGAGGTGCCTTTAACAGCTTAGTTCTTGCCCCTGCCCACGCCCACAGCACAGAAATCCCATAAAAAGTCTGCCTATTTTCTTATCAGTCTGTGTATTCCAGACCCAGTTCTTGCCTCCTGGTCTCCTGGATTCTCCCTGGGAGAGCCTGCATCTGGATTCTTCTCTCTGCCTTGGGTTGATGGCTGCTTCAGACAGTCTGACTGGTGTTGGAGGTGATGCTACTCACCAGCCAGTGTCTGTCATCCAGGATCCTGGGCCCAAATTTGTCTAAGACACGAAACTGTTTATAATGCAATGATCTAAGTGTATGGACGAGGAACCGAGGCCCAGAATGTTTACGTGATAAAGTCAATTCTAGAACGTAGGGCTTATGATTTCCAGAGAAGGAATCAAATAAGGAGACAAGTGCATTTTTTTTTTTTAATTTTAACCCCATTCTGATTTGGTTCAGTGTAACAAAAATAATTGCACAGAAATACCTCCCTGGGAATTTTTTTTTGACTTCGCGATGCTTCTGGGAATCTTGATTTATGTTCTTAAAAATAAAGATGCAGAGTGGTCTTACACAGAAACGAAGGATTTGTTAGGCCACATTTTAATTAGCCTTTCTCTTGTGCATTAACTGCTGACACACTGAAAAATTTGATTTAACTATTAATGTGCTTAACAGTAGTGAGCACTGTTTGACTCAGACACTAAATCTATAGGATATACTTGCAATTTTTACTAAGATTTAATTGTACTAAAAGTAGAATTTCCATGAATCCATGGACCTGTGCTCACCTGCAAAGATGGAATTAGCATGGTTAAATTAGGGTCTCAACTTTGTTCTACGTGTCAATACCACTGGATTTTCTAAATTTCTCACTTAATGCACTTGACGTTTTTGCAATATCTAATTTACTGTTAAGTAATAATATTTAACATGAACAAAATCTTAGCATATACTGTACCTTCCATGTAAGTTTTTCAGTATCATAAACTCCTCCCAAATCTAATAATTGTCTGATTAATTCCAGGGGCGGCTGTGCTCCATACATATCCGTTTCTGGCATATTCAGATCATCAATAAATATTATAATCTTAAAGAAGACAAAAGGTTTTGAAATACATCAATATTACCTTTCATTGAATTACAAATTAGGAATATTAATAATGCTATGACATAAGAAGAAAATTTTATGTAATGACTTCTTTTTTCTATTAAAAAGCAGCAGACCAAATTCTATTTTGATGATATAATTTTAGGAAACAATGTTTTCAAAATAGCAGAAACTCTACTCACTCTCTATAATTATGTCGAATAATAGCTAGAAATGTATTTGATGCTGGATAAAGTCATTCAGTTGTGGCTATTATGCAGGAACAAACATGGTTATTATTCATTCAACATTTACTTGTTGAGTGCCTACTATCGGCAAGGCAATGTTTTAGGTGGTTAGGTATTTATTTCGTATGTGTCGTGGGTAGGAATAAGACTGTCATCTGGAACTAGAGTTTTAAAATTCTGGTGCAGATGCTGTTGTCATGAACAACCAGCAGAAAATTCAGACACGTTTCCAGTTTTTAAACCTGTGCTACTTTCCACCTTTGATAATATTATGCATTGAAATGCACTGATTGTAATCTCTGTGTGCATTAGCCCCCTTAGATTATATTTATTTTTGTAGAGTGAATGAAAATTTAAAAAATACAAATAGTCATTTATTTTGAATTACCTAATTACCTCATTTGTATAACTGTCAATACCATTTCTTCCCTTTTGTATTACAAGGTGGATGATTATAGACAAACTGATTGGACCAAAATTTCTCTTGCCTACATTTTTCATTTGTATAATTAGGTTGAACAATTACTATCCTTTTCAAAATTTCTAAAATGTACCTAATTAGGCAAAGATCCACCAAATTTATCTAAATCTTCAGTCAATATTAAGGAAATTTAAAGCAAATTCTTACCAGTTCTTAAAATTGACAGCCACAAGGGTTAAACTCGGGGTTTCTGAAGGACTCCATGTCATTTTCTTAAGACGGACCCCTGCACATCTCTTGACTTAGGGCCTAAGCATATTATATGGTACTGAACTGAAATCACTGATTGTAAGTTTCGATTGTGACAGAGGGTTTGGTTTAACAACCGTACAGTTAATAATGTGCCAGGCAGACAGGATAAGAATAAGGAATGGCCAACACCATTTCAAGAAAGTAGTTGTCCGACTTATAACAAGGCTGTTTTGATGACTTTCTCTGAGGCTGTGGATACCATACGTTTCCCAAGCCGTGCTCAGAGGAAGAAAACGTGGTAAAACACACAGTAACAAAACAATTGGCATCTAACTCGTTTTCCAGTCTTCTTCTCTGCTCACATTTAATTCAGATTCCAGTAGCTTCTTTTGGCTTTCGTAATTCTGAATCAGTATAATTCTTTAAGTTAGAAACTGAATGATATCGATTTGAAAACCAAAATTTCCATTTTAAAGTGCATTTATAGTAACATTCAGGAGTGTATACTATACTTATCTTTTTCTGTCTATTAGTATTAATTCAAATAAGTCACTTTATCACGAGTAGGATAAGCTGATCATCAACAAGTATGTGAGGCATTTTACCCTGTTGCTTTTTGGTGCTCCAAGAATGTCTTTAGTTCTCCTTATTAAATTCTTGAGGATCATCTCCTTGGCTTGAGCGGCTGTTATTTTGATGCTAAAATTTATCGTAGAGACTATAATCCCTTTATTATTATTTTTAAATGAACTTTCATCAACTTTAACTTCTGGCTTTTTAATAATCTTATCTAAGATGCCAAGCATGGAAAGAAAAACAAATTTAGAACACTTTCAAAACAGTTTTGCTTTAAGGTATTAAGAAAAGTGAAAATCACACAATTTTACTATCTCGTTGCCATTTTAAGGAAATTTCTCTGAGGACAATTCAGTGAGAGAAGGGATACTAACTCTGAAACATTCCCAGATATTTCTTTACTTTTACATGGAAAACAGTATCTCTTTGGAACTATAGCCAAATGTAACAGTACGAAAGCTCGAAGATGCCTCTACTCATCTATGCACGACAGACGCCTATAACTTTTTATTCTGGAAAAATATTTTGATTTGTAATATACTGTATTAATAATGAAATTACACATGAACGATCTGAACGCAGCACGCAGTGTGTCCGCCAAAGACATCGAAATTAGGACACACTGTCTGACTGAGGGTCACTCGGGTTATCTGGGATGGTGCTATAACAAACGTAAAAGGGGGAAAAAACAAAACCCAAACCAGAAAATTCTCCTGGAGGGGATCTCGTGGCCAGGCTCCCTTTCCCTTTGTATGGCCGTCTCTGGGCCACCTCATCGTTCCCTCTTGAGAAGTCGAGTTTTGGCTCCCAAATTACTGATTCCGAATTTTCAGGGCTGAAGCTCTTGAAGCTCCAGGTGTGTTTCTACTGCAGAGTCTGATCTGAGAATTGCGTTATTTCTAAAAGCATTAAAGGACAGAATAGACAGATACCACCTTCGGTGACTTCTTGACTTAGTCTAAGGTTCCACTGATAAGCCGGAGTAGCCACCGTCAGGTAAACAAATAAGACCCCTCTACCAGAACTATCCTAGCTTTTGAGTAGGGTAGAAGAGTTTGAGAGGGTAATGGATTTTTTTTTCGGGACTTTATTTTAAACCATCAATTGAAATTTTCGTTGTGGGATTTCTGACGGTATGTAATGATATGCATATGGTTGAGAGAGGAAGGTTTTGAAACTGCTGTATTACATACCCAGACTTCCAGTTGCTGTCTTATGAGTTTCAGAAAGCAAGATGCTGATGTTCTGTTTCAGGCTATTGGAATGAAATATTTTAAGAATTTAAAATTATCTTATTTACCTTAGTAGCCGTATGAACAGAATAAAATGAGACTATCAGTGCGTGGTTGATTTTACTTCTATCTTCTATAAGGAAACAAATACATTTTTTTCCTGTCCACACTGTTACAGTAATAAAATTAGTATCACCATTAGAACTGACACCTAAATTTAAAAAATATGAGCTAGAAAACCAAACTGGGCAAATTCCTAGGATGCCAGGCTATTGGGTCTTTTCTTTGGAAAGTAAGCTATTAACTTGCTTGTTCCTTTATAAAATGCATCACTCAATAAAAGCCCCATTCACCTTTATTTTGGTCTTCACATGTTTTTTTTCCCCCTTATGTTATCTTTCTTTATGGCTAAAATCCACTTCAGTTTAAATATTGAACATATAGTACAAAAAATTTTCACATTCTATTATTTACGATCATAACAATTTAGACAAGAAATGGTTCTTATTTTACTAAATGTTTCAAAAATTATTTCTCTGATTTTTTTTAAGGCCTTATTTAAGCGTAGTAGGATTCTATTTCAAAATCGTTAGTGTAAGATGTAAATCATGGTGGCCTGGATTAAAAGTGACATTGACGAGATGTAGAGGCATTCAAGGTGTATGGCGAAGACAGAACAGATATGACTAACGGAAGATTGGCCGTGGGCTGGGGTTAAATGGGGGGACAGAGATTGGGAGGAATCAGATGGGCTACTGGCGATGACTGGTAAAACGAAAGGGGGAATTCAAGGATGAGTTCTAGGGTTCAACCTTGAATTACTGGGTCTCATTTATTGCAGTGAGAAACAGTGGAGGAAGAAAAGTTTGGGAAAAGAAATCAAGAATTATGTTTCGGTTATGTTAATGTTGAGACATTCACGAGATATCTAATATATCTCACACAGTATATGTCATATAGTATATACGTGACGTAGGCAGCTGGATAAATGAGTCTCATGATCAGAGGAAGGGTGAGATCTGGGCGCGCCCCTCCACAATCCCGTCTTCTGATTCATTGTGAACAAAGGCAGGTTTCTCTAATATTTTAACAGAATGAGCATTAATTTTAAAGTTTTATACTTTTCATTTGCACAATTTAGATTTCTTTTCCTTTAGTTTTTTCTTTAGGAAGAGACACAGAATGACAAAGTTCTTCATATATTTATACATTCAATAAGAAGGAAATATATTTCTAGGGCAACAAAACTATGTGTATGCAACACTATTAATATGTTTTAGGTGCATTTCTTCAGGAAGGAAAATACAACTGTACTTTGTTAGGTAGAAAAAAGAATTGAAGATTTAAATTTAGTTATATTTAAAATAAATATTAATTTCTCATTTAGGGAATTAATCTAGTTGTTAATACTCTGGAGAAGTAAAGATTTTGTTCTTAACTCCTCTTTTGAATATTTCTGCATTTTTATATAACAGGTTTGCTTTTTAAAACAAGGCACATTTAGATATTAAAGCAAACTTTTTCTAAACAAATAAATTTTAAAGTTTAATATATACTACCTTGATTTTTTAATTTCATGATATAATAGGACTTCTCCTAAAATTGACCCATATTTCACGTCAAATCCACCTGAGCCCTCTAACTTTTCAAGCACTTGATTAATGGTTATGGTTTTCCCAACACCAGAGTCTCCTAAGGGAGAAAAAAGATACCTTAGATTAGATTTACATGCAAGAAAATGAAGAGGTGCTAACATATTACAATGGCCCAATAACATTTTCTTTCATTTGAAAATCACATGAAAAGTATGTTTTTGCTCTTCTTTTTTTAAAAAATATGTGGTTAAACGTGGATCAACCGAGTAGTTAATGTGAAAACCTCTCAAATTATTTAAATTATTTATGTCTCTCACAAAATAATAGATTAGAAGTTAACCATTATTTTTTATCTCATGTTCATTTAAGCCTATCGCAAAACTTTTTGCTGATAGCACAGTGGAACTGTGACGTGAAATTAATTTTCCTGAAAAATTTACCAGCACAGTCTGTGGGGGCAATTTTAAATAAACTATTTATTGCAGCAGAACAAGGAGGCACGACTTTACAATTCACCAAATATTAAGTAAAAATAAGAATTTCCTCCGACCAAGTTGGTCGCACAGTATGGGCCGTCTCTAAGCTCCGATTTCATTTTGCCTGAATACTTTGAGTGTAGAACTGGGACAGTGATTGCTGCTGCTAGTGAAAGGCGACAACACGCCTTAGGGAACTGGAAAAGAAACCGAAAGGGTTGAAATAAACGTTAAGAAAGAGAAGGATTTATTAACCAATGTTGTCCCGATAAATTTAATTTTAAAAAAAGAACAAAAGAAAGCATGGGAGCTGTACTGAATTACTCCTTTGTTAATGGTAAAGGACTGAAAAATTTTAGCATTGCTTGAAGAATTACGTGTGTACATTTTTTTTTTTCTAAATCAGCCAGTTTTTTTTTTCTTTAAATTAGTTGAATTTAATTAAGCTATTCAATATTACTACCATCAGTCGTCTTCTAAGGATCTTAGCCCACAGGCTGTGGAGGCCATATGTATATTAATCCAGTAGTTTTGCTTCTGGAGTTTGTCTTGAAGGTAATGAAAGGATGAAAAAGACTAACGGTGTCCTGTATGGACAAATATGTGGAGAAATGGGTATTCCTATACTGCTGGTAGGAAAATATATCAATATAGTCACTAAAGCTTTCAGGTTTTTTTTTTTCTGTTTTATAAAATAAAACAGACTAAATAATTACTAAGCCACCTCCTAACTCTGAAATTGTCCTTCTTTCAATGCTTTTAATACCTGTGAGAAGTACAGGGCAGGAATTCTTTAGAAGAAGGCTGATGAGGAAAGAGAGGCACACTGTGTCTCGGGTTGCAATGTGATTAATGTTCTCTCCACATTCTGTTATCTTCAAGATGTTTTCACCGGATCCTTGAGGATCAGCTAGTATTGAAGTTCCTAGGTTAAAAAAATTATTTTAAAAAATTGAAAAAAATCTATCAATAATAGTAACCTAATCTTTTAGGTACTAGATACTTTCTGAAGAAGTCTGTACATTATTAAGCGATTTAAACATACATGGAGAAACCAAATTGTTGCAAGTGCCTTGGGGTCTCTGATGATATCAGAAATTGTCCCTTTCATTCCCACTCCCAGCTAGTGGACTCACCACCCATATTCTTAAGTGCACTATATGTAAACTCTCTGACTTTCTCACCACCAAACCTATGAATCTGCTGTCATACGCAATGCAAGCATCTCTTTCTTTCCTCCAGTAAAAACGAAGAAAGTAGCTCTCCTGCCAAAGCTTCCGACAATTTTTTTTTTTAAAGAACTTCACTTCTTGGGTAATACTTCTTCCCCTATCATTATCTGTCTCTTCCTTCGTACTGGAATTTTCCATTGTACAAACATATATGTGCTAGTATCTCAATCCTTTTATTGTTCGAATCACATTAAATAGACATTTTTGTTATTAAAATAAATAAAATACACCCACACCCCAAAACTAAAACAGTGCCCCTTGAGCTCACAGTTTCCTATAAATACCACCCCAATTTTTTCCACCATTACACAGCCAAAACTCTCAGAAGGGGTACACACAACATAGCCTCACTTCCTCATCTTTTACCACTCTTTTTTAAAATTAAAAACTGAAGAGCTAATACATTCACATGGTACATAAAAGTACATAAAGGTATGCAATGAACAGTTAGTCTCTTTCTCATCTCTATATCCTAGTTGCTTAGTTCCCATACTGTGTATACTGGTCTGCAATTTTTAAAAATTTAGTGTATTTTAAAGATACTTCTACATTAGTAAAGAATTTTTTTTGTGATTAATATTATTTTATTTGATGAATACTAAATCACACATTTTTTACTGGTGCTCCAGTGATGGATTTATCTTAGATTTGAAGAAAATACCAAATTCCCTTAGGAGTGGTACAAAAAGACTCTGAGTTATATGCACTGATATTCAGTTATATTTTTTCTATATGATGATAAAAGTTAAAGATAAAAATGAAAATGGAGATAGAAAACATAAAAAAGAAAGAGTCGGAAATGAAGAATACAATAAATGAAATGGAGAATACATTAGAAGGGATCAACAGCAGATTAGATGAAGCAGAGGACTGAATCAGCAATTTGGAGGATAAGGTAGCAGAAAACACCCAGTCAGAATAGCAACAAGAAAAAAAGAATCCAAAAAAAAATGAGGATGATTTAAGGGGCCTCTGGGACAACCTCAAGTGTATCAATATTCACATCATAGGGGTTAACAGAAAAAGAGAGCAAGGAATTGAAAATCTATCTGAAGAAGGGATGACGGAAAACTTCTTTAACCTGGTGAAGGAAATAGATATACAAGCCCAGGAAATGGCAGAGAAAACCAAAACACTACTTCAAAGGGACATGTGCATCCATACGTTCTTTACAGCATTACTTATAATAGCCAAGATATGGAGGCCACTTGGATTTCCATCAGTGGATGAATAGATAAAGAAGTGATACATATAAACAATGGAATATTACTCAGCCATAAAAAAGAATGAAATCTTGCCATCTGCAACAACATGGATGAACTTAGAGGGCTTTGAGCTGAGTGGAGTAAGTCAGACAAAGACAAATGCCATATGATTTCACTTATATGTAGAATCTAGAGAACAGGATAAATAAACAAACAAAACCGAAACAAGCTCATAGATACAAAGAACATTTTGATGGTTGCTGGATAGTGAAAGGTTGGGAAGATGGGTGATGGTGGAAGGATTAAGAGGTACAAATTGGTAGTTACAAGATAGACATGGAGATGTAGAGTATAGCATGGGGAATATAGTAGTACCGTAATAACTATGTACGGTGTCAGATGGGCACTGGGTTTATTGGAGTGATCACTTTGTAAATTATATAAATGTCTAATCACTGTCTTGTACAACTGAGACTAACATAATATCTTATGTCAACTGTAATTGAAAAATAACACATACTTCAAAAAAATGACGCAATGTTAGCACTAATATATGATATACAATTCGGAGGTTTTAAATAAATGTGATCGCTCACTAATATTTACTGTGACAAATATCATATAATAGAAGCTTGGTACTTCTAACTGAAATTAGAATTAGAACTCCCTGGATGCTTTAGGATTCCAATAGCTCTGGTTGTTTCTGTCAAAAGTCTAAAAACCAAACTTCGAAATTATTTGATGAGAAAAACCTGACCTCAAAGCAATTTAATTCATTTTGCGTTCATTGGATTTCTTATAGTTGCAAGAAATCTCCATAAGCTTGATTATTAAGTTCCTGCCTCAAACTTCAACCAAGTTCTCAAAGTACAACAATTTTCTACATCTTTTTTTTCTATATAACGGTAGAAGATTGAGAATAAAAACAATATAACATATATGGACATTCATCAAACTCTGATTATTCTTTTCTAATTAAGACTTCCCTTTACAATCAAATGTAGTTCTTACATATATGTTTTTGCTATTTTAAAAGCAATCCTCTCCCTTTTCTCCTTTAAATGAGAGCTAATGAAAATAAATATTTTTGTTAGTAAGACTTTCAATGAATTTGTTTTATAATTTACAGGCGACTCAATCAAATAAATACATTCCAACTTTCTCAGAAAGCAATATTCAAAGATAATTTTAAAGGCATGTTTTGTAAACATATATTTAAACTGGTTCCTACACAAACTTGGAATATATCAGTCCTCAAAGTTACTGACATAACTACTTATATACATAAAGTATTCCCAATATTTTAGAGAAGTTAGAGTATGATTCTTATAATTACTCTTACCTCTTTGAATTAGCGTCTGAATGTTAGGAAGTAATTCTGACCATGGTATGAATTCACATGTCTGTATATCCACAAAATACCCAAAGATAGAATGTTTGCCAGTTGGTAGGTTAATGCCTACATTTGAAAATGATTTTTAAAAAAGGATAAATAAATAAATTCAAGTAAGAACGAGGTTCATTTATGGAATGTTTCACTCATGATATGATCTCAATATGAAAGATTTGACTGTTAAACCAGAAATAACAACTATTCACCAATGGTATATCCAAATATATAAAACGAACCTATCTTTCTTTTCTTCTAATCTTTAATTGTATAAAATCAATGTTTTATTAACTTTTTGTCTTTTTTATATCCAGAAAGAGATGTGAATCATGATCTAATATCCTTTAAAATCTTATCCAGAAGGTCTGCATTACCATTGTTAGATATTATCAAACACCAATAACATACTGGTTGTGGTCAAACCAATACCTTAGAGAACTTTGATATGTATTTGAAAATTACATTTACTTTTCTATTATAAAAGTAATAAAGTTTCATAATAGATTCTGAAAAATACAGAATAATATATATAAAAGCAAAAGAATTTAGCCATGGTTTCATGTTATAAAGACAACAGTGTTAATATTTGACATATTTCTCTGAATTATTTATAAAATTTCTACATATAGTAAAATTCACCTTTTTTGTGTACACAATTCTGAGGTTTTTTTCGTTTGTTTGTTTGGTTTTTTTTTTTTTACCACATGCATGTATTCTTGTAATCACCTTAATAGACAGGATACAGAACAATTCTAAACCCTTAAAGGATTCTCTCTGTATTCAGGCTCTTCTATCAACCCTAGCCTCGGACAACCACTGATCTGTTCTCTATTACACTCTTTTGCTTTTTCCAGAATGTTGTATAAACTCAATCATAGAATATGTAACTTTTTGAAACTGAGTTTTTTCACTTAGCATAATGCGTTTAAGTTTCATCCACATTATTCCTCATTCATCAACAGTTCATTCCTTTTTATTGCTGAGTAATATTCCATCGTGTAGACGTATCAAAACTTGTTTGCCCATTTGTTCATTAAAAAACATTTGAGTTGTTACTGATTTTTTTTCAATTATGAATAATGCCGCCATAAATATTTGTGCATAGGTTTTGGTGTGAATATAAGTTTTCGTTTCTCCAGGATAAATATCTAGAGGTGAAACGTTGAGTCAGAGAATAAGTGCATATTTAATATTTTAAGAAACTGTCATACTGCTTTCCAGTGTGGCTGTTATCTTTTGACTTTATAATTAGCAACAGATAAAAGTTCCTGTTACTATGCCTCTATGCCAGCTCTTGGTATTATTGATTTAAAAATATTTTATTTTTCGAGCTTTATTGAGACATAAATGATAAATAATATTGCATAAGTTTAAAGTGGAAAATACGATGATGTGATACACAGTTATTGTGAAATGATGATCACGGTAGGGCTAGTCAACATTTCCATCACTCACATAATTACTTTTTTATGTGTGAGAGAATAGTTAAGACAGTTATTCCCTTAGCAGCTTCCTAATATACAGCATAGTATTACTGTTTACAGTCTCCCTGCTGTACTTTTGTGCAGCTGGAAGTTTGTACTTTTAGATCCACATCTCCTCATTCCCCCTCCTCCCCCAGCGCCTGCGACCACCCACCATTGTATTGTTTCTGAACCTGGCTTCTTTAGATTGTGTAAGTGAGATCACACAGTATCTGTCTTTCTCAGTCTGATTTACTTACTTCAATTAGCATAATGCCCTTAAGGTCCATCCTATTGCCACAAATTGCAGGGATTTCCTTACTTTTTACAGATGAATAATGTTCCTTTGTATATAAATACTAAGTGTCTTTGATATTAAAAGTTAATTTCCATAAGAAATAAGTAAAAACTTTGCAATACAGATGTCTTAAATGGAGCTTTTACAAATAACTTCAAACGATTAAGAGTTACATCAGATAAACCAGTAGGATTTGTATTTTTGATGATGTGTTTAGTTCTCATTTTTATTTAACAGATACATTCATGTTTAATATATTTCTCCTTTTGATATCTGCATCAATGATCTCCTTATCTGTTCAAAGTTCCTTTAATTAGTAATAGCTAATTGAGAAAGTTTACTGTTTCTAAGTATTAAATAGATCATACTTGTTAGAACTGCTTCAAAATAACACAAATATTAAAGAAATCTAAGGCATTAAAAATAACTTAGAAAATATTATTGTTTCAAAAAATAAATATGAAAATATAATTTTTTACAGAAGTTTCTGCTACATGATCATAAGTATAATACAGATCTAGCTATACAGCTGATGGGCTCCGCTTAGCTGAGCTCATAGTTCCAAGGCTTTATTTTTGTTCTGCCTTCCTCGAGTTATGGCTTTTTGTAGCAACAAGAATCAATCAAGAATCTAATTTTCTTCAGCCTCTTTTCATTGGAGAAAGGGTGTTGAGAGTGTACTTATCAATCCTCTTTTACCTTTAATCTTCACATTTTAAAAGGAGGGGCTAATCAATGTAAGCCCAATCATAGTTACAAATTAATACTCTAACGCAAGCATAATTACGACTCCTCCTACCCAGAACTTACCTACTTGTGTATTGCTTTCAAACAACTGATGAACAAGGTTGTCAAAGTCATAGGTTACTCTTGCAAGAGAATCAGGCTCAAAACTTGAATACAACAGGATGTCATTTTCATGTTCGTCTTCACGCTTTAAAGTCCCTCCGAAAGCCCAAGTAAATGCAAACACGAAAAGCTTTTGAATCATTACGTTTAATTTATCAGGATATTTCTCCAGATACCATGTATTTTTAGACCTGGGGTAGACAAATGTAGAAGGATTAAGTTTTAAATTTTTAGAAAGCATTCAGTAATTTATTTCAATATCTTGTCAAAGTTTCATTATTAAAAATTACAATATGGTTAAGTGTTGGCATAAAAGTTTTAGAGTTAACGGGTAATTTTCCTTTGGTAAATTATGTAAATTTTTTAAAAATACCATCTGTATAAGAGATTTGTAGCCAATTTTTATTTTACTTCTTTGTACATATGATTCACTTTTATTTTAGGTTAATTTATTAGCTGAGAGTTTGCCTGTCTTTTGGGAGAGGATCTGATAATTCTCCATTTTATGAAGAAAGACGTAAGTGAAGAGTCGCTTTGTCCTCCTCTTAACCAAATCCTAATGGCTGACTGAGTCCAACCAGGCTAAAGCCAGGTAATGTGAATCTGGGGAGAATCTTCTCTCATGTCTGGGTCGACCCTGGTTGCCCTGGTCTGCGGGACCCAGAAATTCTACAGTGAAAAGACTGCAGGGGATGGAGCCAAGCAAAAGGTTTGGGCCTGATATAAAGACATTGTAAACAGTTCAGGATTTAGCATTATCATAAAATAATTTATGAATTATAAAAATCCTAAAAATATATCACTGAGCTGAAATTTATTGGTGACCATTAATGTACAATGCACATGTATAATTCTGTTTGAAATTTCTGGTCATGTGTAATAGCTTATTCAGCAAATATTTATTGAATTCCTACTATATATTAGTTACTCTGAACAAAACCAACATGATCCCTTATTTCCAGGACAAGAAAATGAATACTAAACCATGCTAAGTGTAAAGAACAGAGTCAAACATAACACGAAGGATAATAGTAATAGAGATAACTAATTTAGACTGTGGGAGTCAGGGAGGGCCTCTTTGAAGAAGAACCAGTTAAACTGAGACCTGAAGAATGAGTGGGGTTTGGCAAAATGTAAGAGGAAGAGCATCTGAGCAGAAAGAATACATGTGCCAAGATCATGAGACCAAAGGATCATGGTTAGTTTGAGGAACTGGAAAAAAATAAAAGTGTCATTGAAGCACACGTCTAGTTAGTAGAGATGAATCTGGGAGCTGTGTAGAGGCTTTTAAAGCTGTCCCAAGGCTTTTTTCCTTCTATTCTGAGTGTAATGGGAAGTCATTAAATGGCTATGAAAAGAAACACTCTAATTTATGTTAAAAAAATCAAACTCTTGCACATAAATACGAGGAGATGTGGACAAGCATATTAATCACAGTAGTATTTGTAATAACAAAAATGGAAAAAAAAACTACATTTTTATCAATGGATAAATAAATTGTGATATATTTATACAATGGACTATTAGCAGTGAAAATGAGCAAAGAAGCCTGAAAGGAACAATAGATTAATCATAGGAACACAACATTGAACACAAATGTGAGACACAGAAGAACATAGAGAATGATTCCATTCAAGTTCAAAAATATGCAAAGTTGAAAAATATATTGTTTGGGAATATATTAAAAACAAACATCCAGGGTCGTAGTTATCACAGGTGACAGGATGCCATAAAACCTAGATAGTTGACAGGGGACTTCAAAGATAAATTGATGGTTTTTTTCCTATAACTAAATAATGTGTATATGAATATTTGTGTATTGTTATTTCTACCTTACACGTATTTTATAAATATTCTTTTATGGCTAGTCGCTATATAAGTTAAAAATAATATATGGTTGTCATGTTGAGAATAGACTGGAAGATCTGGGGAAAACAACTGGGCAACAGTGAAGGTTTGAGCTAGAATGCTGGTAAGCGAGATGTATACAAATGAATGTGAAGGCAGAGTTGACAGGTAGTGTAAAAACGATATGTAGAATGTTCTATCACTTAAAAGCAAATGTGACATGAATGCCTCAGGGACTTAGTAACAATGAGATGTAGGAAGGAAGGCATCAACAGTGACACTCCTGTCCTACGAAATGGCAGAATTATAGAGTTAATAATTTCTAGCTATGATTTATTGAGCACATACTATGCATCAGGCACTATTCTACATATCTAGTACATCACATTATTCTTCCAGTTTTATGAAAGAGAAAAATCAAAGCTCAAAAATACTTAATAACTGGTTCAATATTTCTCAGGTCATAAACTGCAGATTCATGAAATATATTCATGCCAATTTCGTTTCTTTCTCAAATATGCACAGAGTCTGGACAAATGTATTCCTTTTCTGCATGTAACAGCATAAAATCTGCTGCTCTTGTATTAGATATACAAGGACACTAAGCTGGAATAAAATAAATTTAAGTGGATTTTGATGTTCTAAAGTCATCAAAGCACTGATTTATTGACAGGTAAACCTGTGCCTATTTGAGTGTCTGGCACCTAGTAGGTACTAAAACACATCTGTTGAATGAATGTAACTGACCTCTTTTCTTTATCCTTGAATTTGACAGAAATTTTTGAATGTGGAGAATTTTTCTCCTCAGTTGAAATGTTCTTCAAATCTTCACCTTAAAAAGGAAAGAGTATTTTCCCACAATCAACAACAGACCTAAAATTCAGTGAGGTTTAACTTTTAACATTGTTTAGTTTGTGAATTGTCATAGGAAAACATCTTCGTTTCACATACAGTATCTTAGAGTATCTTATCTGGCCAAAGTGAGTTACTTTTCTAAGAAAAGAGGAGCAGAGAATATACCTTCCATTGTCTGAACTGATCCTTATTTATTTGAAGCATGAATCTGCATACTTTAGTTCTTCATTCTATTCTGGTGACTTTTTCGTATATCCGATTGTTCCAAAATAGAACCTTTACACATTCAGATGACTACTTCTAAAGATGGTACACATTACAAACTAAATAATAAATCGGTCTTAATAAAATGAAGCATTAAAAAAAAAACAAACCTATATGCTTTCGAATAAGAAATTTATGCAAACAAACAACAAATGGGTCAACTTTAGGCAGACTATAGTGGTCTCCCTCCCAACCCTCATTGCCCACCATTTCTAAGTCATCCATTCCACAGAGAAGCACAGAGAATGATTATTCATTCTTCCTTTTTGTAAAATATGTAGAGATAAAGAGAAGCATACAGAAGAAAATAACAATCATCCATAATTTTACCATCCACAGATAATAATCATTAGCTGTTGATGCATTTCATTATGGTCTTTTATATAAATATGTACTATTTAAATATTAAAATATTAAAAAATTTAAACTTAAAAAATTTGTTATTCAGCCAGCCACGCCATCATGCAACCCATTTATTATGTTCTTAATTTTAACTATTACTTTTTTTCAGTCCTAACCTCGCTGTACCTCCTAACGGCTCCCGTTCCTTGGCTTGCCCTTCTGATAATTTGGGAATGTGCATCTGGGAAGGGGGTAGATGCTCTTCAAGGCAGAGAAGTTGTGTGCTAACAATTTCTATCTAGCCTGGTACTGCTCTTTTTCAAGTGTGGTCCCCCGCTTAATCATTAGGCTTTAAGATGTAAAGGGGGTTGGCAGTAGGAGGAAATATGTCTGACCTGCTCCCTAACCTAGTCGGGCTTCACGGCATGGTGAACGTGACATTTTGTTGCTGCCACTAGCTGTGCTATGCTGTGCTGACTGGCGAAGGGAAAGACAACAGCCCTTTCAGGAGCCATGAGGAGGAGAAGGGCCGACCTAAGTGTTCTCCCCTACTTCATCTCCCGTTCTTGGTACCCAGCTCTTTTCTGCTTAGGATTGCTGTTTTCCCCCACGCTGGGACTTTAACCATTTTGTCGTCCTTGGGATTTCTCAAAATTTTTTAGTTTCGTGGAGCCAAAATTGGGTTTTGGAGAGAGAGTTGGAGCCTGTGCTAATTTGCCATCTCATAGGCAACCAGAGAAGCAGCGTTTAAATGTAGGCATCCTTACTCCAGACACCGTGCCTTCCTTAGCCATAATGCTACACTGTTTCCTTAATCTTTTGATCATTCCTTACAGATGTTTTACCGTTTACCAGGTTTATGCCTTTGTATGATTACAATTTACACCTCGGATTCTGAACAGATTTTTTCCCCTACTATTTCTATCTCTAAGAGTTTTTAAAACATAGCAAAAACATTCTTTCCTACTAGACACCCTCTGAGGATTCTTTAGACTCATTTTTCCTGCGACCCTTCAACACTTATGCATGATATTAATTTACTTGATGAACATGCTCCTCTATAAATGCTTTCTAGTTTGTTCCATGTACATGTCTACTGTTGGTTCAAATAGACTGAAAATTCCTGGCTTTCCTTTCTTTTATAAAATCTAATAGAACGTGGTAAACAATTGGCATTGACTAGCTAAGACACGATATCGTTAGTATGACTTAGGGAGGAAAAACTCACGTTGTCCAAAGCCTCCATTTTTATCCATGAATTCAAAGAAAGCATCGAGAATTCTGCAGAGAGTCATAATGATTGTTATGTCCTGTACAGGAAATGGCTGAAATTTCTGATATTTCTTTACAAACTGCAGTCCATCTTTGACGCTATTTTTAATCATGAATTCAAGATACTCCACTCCGGATTGACTCATAATTTTAGAAGTTTTCAAAAGCCATGACTTAATATAAGGCTCCCATCCCAGATCAACGGGATCCTAATAATGAAAAGCACCAGACAATTTTTTTTTTTTGTAAATAAATAGTGTCCACCTACTTTCCTACACTATCTCTTTAGTTCACCACTGCCCGCCTGCGGAATACGGTTTAAAATGATCATTCATTAAAGGGCAAGTGATCAAAAAAGCTTAACGAATTATCCTTCTCTGAGATACTTGTGATTTTTAACCGTGGTCCTACGAGACAACAAGCACTTGGGGATTATGTCTAGAGAGGAGAGCTGAGGCCATGCGCACGTGGTAAGAAACCGCTTACCCAGAAAATCAGCGCTATACTTAGCTTTATTCATTACATCGAATTAAGTAGATTAGAGCATAGGGCCAGTTGTGGCTAATGATTTCAGGGATACACAGCAGTTATTCCTCGTTGAGTCTTCTGTCTTCTCACCGCTCCCTCGGTAACGTGTTGCACAAGTTCTAAGAGGCGTGGGGTTGGTATGAAAAGACGTCAGGGCAATCTTTCCTCCACTGGAAAAATACTCCTTACAGTTGTGGAAAATACTGACGTTTCGATTACTAAGTGGTATTAACAACAGTAATAATGACATGCGCATTCATTCCTGGGTGAGGAGGCGTTAGGGGACATGGAACTTTTAAATACTGGGATTGCTCTGTTGGATCCGGAGGGAATGACAGAATAAATATAAAAATGCTATAGATAATGACTAGTTATTATCCTAAACAATGCATTTCTTTAGTTGAGCAATTGGATTTTGAAACCTTACCATATAGACCATTGCACATCGGCTAACAGTGGTGGGACTGGCGTGAGAGAGACTGTCCACTTCAAAAATCACTCTTATTTTATTAGTTAGAGCTATTCTCTCACTGTTTGCTAGGCACAGTGTTCTAGTGTCATCCAGCATGGAGTTTAGACTTTCTACCCAAAAGGTGTCCACTGGACCATCTAAGATAATCCACTGCCAGTCGAAGTCTGGGGAGAACAATATTTTTAATGTAACAGAATAATCTCAGTCTTCTTTCATTACAATCCTGCAAATATTCTATTTGATTTAGAAAAATATTTTTTAATTAAGATTAAAAATGATATCTGTTGTTTCTCACACAATATTAATTTCCACCTGTAATATCTACTTGGTCCCTGTGAGATATTAATGGTCATTTATAAACTAAAAGGGCTATATAAGCCCTGGTACTTATATAACATAACTATACATGAATATACTGTAATATAACACGTATTAAAACTATACAAATTTTAAATAGGCACATGAGGAAAAAATAAATAGTACAATGACAAACTATCATTAGTCAAAAATGTTTTTAAAGAAATAAAGGTCATATTGGTCTGGTTTGCCTTCTATGTTAATGAATCATTTTTATTAAATTTAATAATAACACTTACTCTGACTTTTTGGAATTTTAACATCTTTCTCCATCTCCTTCTCAAAAATATTATTGTCAATATCTGCTGTATCAGAAGAATCAAGTTTGAAAACCTGAAATAAGTAATTAATTATGTTAAAATTTTTATTTGATCACACTTTCCAACTCAAATGAACTATCTGTCAATACGCTTCCCTAAGTGATAAAAATCTAAAAGGCAGAAGGTTTTGTAGCTGGAAAGACCAACACGTAAACACCAGAGTCTAATGTAACTGAGTTGTGACTCAGGTCATTTTTTTTAAGAAAATTCTTTTATTTTAGTTATTTTTTCCTCCCAGAAAGATAGTACATGCTGTTGTATAATGTTCAAATAATGCAGCAAAACACAAAGAAGAAAGCAAAAATTCTCTGATTTTCTACTATCTATAAAAATACCACAGTTGACATTTTGGTGTATATTTTTCCTAGACCGTCCTTCATGATAGAGCTTTAAAATTTCAGGCTGCATAAAATTACCTGCAGGATTTGCTAAATCGCAGATTCTAACACCTCATCCTCGGCAGTTCTGCTTGCATAGGTGTGGGACGGAGCCAGGAATTTCCATTTTTAATATGCGCCCAGGTGAACCTAATACAGGTTGTTCTTACACCAATCTCTGAGAAATTCTAATCGATGCATATACTTAACTCTTAATTATGTGGGGGACTTAATTATTTATGCCCCCAACAGGGGTGAGTAATATACCATCAGCTGACTGGCATAGGTTTCCTTTACCACCAAGAGCAGGAAGGGAGAAGACCAAACTCTAGGCCAGAGCTGGGGCTCTGAGGAGAGGGACCAATCCTAGGTGTGAGTGAGCACAGAGCCTATAATGCAACAAACAGTCACTTCTAATATTTAGCCTGAGCATCTTTTCATATGTCTATTGGCAATTTTTACTTAATCTGTCAACTTTCTATTCAAAGCCATTCCTCACGTTTAATCATTTCTTATTCATGTTTGAAGCACTTCTATATTAGGGATATTAACTCATTGCATATAACATATGTTCTAAATATTTTCTTACAGACTGTAGTTTGCTTTAACGTGTTTGTTGCAACTATTGAAAAATATTTTCTTATTTACATTTATATTAAAATCCTTTCGTCTTTCGATTTATAACTTTTGGGTTCCCAGTCTTAGTTAAGGACTTCCTAACTCTGAAAATATGTCTCTAAATATTATTACATTTTTAT